GCTGCTTTTAAGATTCTCTCTGTCTTTTGCTCTTGGCATTTTAATTATGATGTGTCTTGGTGTGGTCCTCTTTGGATTCCTTTTGTTTGGGGTTCTCCGCGCTTCTTGGACCTGTAAGTCCATTTCTTTCACCAGGTGGGGGAAGTTTCCTGTCATTATTTCTTCAAATAGGTTTTCAATATCTTGGTCTCTCTCATCTTCTGGCACCCCTATAATTCTGATGTTGGTACGCTTGAAGCTGTCCCAGAGGCTCCTTACACTATGCTCACATTTTTGGATTCTTTTTTCATTTTGCTTTTCCGGTTGGGTGTTTTTTGCTTCCTCGAATTTCAAATCATTGACTTGATTCTTGCGCTCCTCTGGTCTGCTGTCGGGAGTCTGTATAATATTCGTTATTTCAGTCCGTGTATGCTTAATTTCTAGTTGGTTCCCCAATATAAGATGGAGGGTCTCATTAGTTTTCTTGTAGATCTCATTAAGTTTATCGGCGGCTTCTAAACAGTTCTTGAGAGACCTTAAAAGTGTGGTTCTGAACTCTATATCTTCCATTGACAATTTTGTCCTGTTTCTTTGTCTCCGCATTTTGTTATGCTTCCTTGGTGCACCCCCTAGTGGTCTTTGTTCGCAGTCTTATAGTTAAATCTTGATTGTTGTAGCTAATTCCAGGGAGGGTTTGACCTCCAGGCCAAGTGGCTATGAGAATCAGCTGTGTCAGCAGTGAGAGAACTTCTGTCCTCTAGGGAGGTGCTAATCTAGCCTTTGCCTGAGGCTATCCGGCAAAAGCCTCTGTGCAGGGCTTGGGCGGGGCGGGTCGCACAGGATCAACAGGGTGGGCCGGAGAGAGCAGTTATGGCGGCTCTCAGTCCTGTCCCCAGGGGCTCTGCCTCTCTGAGTCCCAGCACCTGCTGCAAACCTCGGAGGGAAAGCTGCACTCGCTCTGACCGAAGCCAGACAGTCCCACTTCTCCCGTTTGAGTCTGGGTCCCTAAAGACTCGCCCGGATCTGGAGCTCAGAGTCTGCGACTCCCTCCTGATTGAAAACGCCAACCGCGCCCTCCGCCGCCAGCCCGCTCCGCGCACTCCGCACCTCAGAATTTGACTTCAGCACTGCGCCTCCTCTGAGTGTCCGTATGCGTTTCTCTTTCCTCCTAGTTGTAGGACTTCCACTCAGCCAGCGTTCCTGTGGTTCTGGGTGATGTCCCTTCCGTTTTTTGGTTTCACTTTTGAAGTAGTTGTTCAAAGCAGCAAACTCTGGCGTTAACCTATGCCGCCATCTTGGTTCTCTCCTCCAACACTGTCTTGCTGAGGGTTTTAAATCATGAATGGGTGTGGGATTTTGGCAAATGCTTTTTCTGCATCTATTGATATGATCGTATTATTTTATTTCTTTTTAGTCTATTGATGTAATGAAATTACATGAACTGATTTCATATGCTGAACTTGCCTTGAATACCTAGGATAAATCCAAATTGATTGTGGTGTATTTTTCTTTTTATACATTGTTGGATTTGATTTGCTAATACTTGTTTAAGATGTTTATATTTGTATTCATGAGAGATATTGGTCTGTAGTTTTTTCTTTTAGTGTCTATTTGATTTTGTTATTATGGTGATGTTGGCCTCATAGAATAAGTTAGGAAGTATGTCCTCTGCTTCTGTATTCGGGAAGAGATAGTAGAGAATTTGTATAATTTCTATCCTAAATGTTTGATAGAAATCATCAGTGAGCCCTCCTGGGCCTCCTGGTTCTTTATTAAATATTGAATCAATTTTGTTAATAGATATAGGCCTATTCAGATTGACTGTTTCTTCTTGTGTAAATTCTGACAGATTGTCTTTTTCAAAGAATTGTCCATTTCATGTAGACTATCAAATTTGTGGGCATAGAGTTATTTATAGTATTCTTTTATTATCCTTTTGATGCCCTTGAGATCTTTAGTTATGTCTCGTCTTTCATTTCTGATTGTTATTATTTATAATTTTAAGCAATATTGCTTATATCTAATTATTATTTTATTTTTTTAATGTATTTTATTGATTTTTTACAGAGAAGAAGGGAGAGGGATAGAGAGTTAGAAACATCGATGAGAGAGATCGATCAGCTGCCTCCTGCACTCCCCCCAGTGGAGATGTGCCTGCAACCAAGGTACATGCCCTTGACCGGAATCAAACCTGGAATCCCTCAGTCTGCAGGCCAACGCTCTAGCCACTGAGCCAAACCGGTTTGGCTAATTATTATTTTATTTTAATTATTAGTAATTTTTGTGTCCTCTTCTTTTTTTCTTAGTTAGCCTGGCCAGAGGCTAAATTATTTTATTGATCTTTTCAAAGAACCAGCTTTTTGTTTTATTGATTTTCTCTTCTGATTTCTTGCTTTCAATTTCATTGCTTTATGCTCAAATTTGTATTTCTTTTCTTCTGCTTACTTTGGATTTAATTGCTTTCCTTTTTCTAGATTCCTGAGAAGGAAGCTTAGGTGATTGATTTTAGGTCTTTCTTCTTTTATAACATATGCATTCAAAGCTATAAATTTTCCTCAAAGCACTGCTTTTGCAGCATCCCACAGATCTCGGTAAGTTGTGTCTATAGAATCTGTAATGATTTCCCGTCTTTCTTTTCTGTTATTGGTAGCTGCCTCACAAGCTGACCTCCTCTACTCCACTGACTTTCACCTCACCCATCAGCCTCCTACCAGCAGTGTTACATCTTGGCACTTGTCATCCCTTAGACCTGTTCCACCTCTGGAATCTTCCTGTTGGCCTCTCCTGACCAGAACTTATTTAACTTCTACCTCTCCCACATGCTACACCCACTGAACTTGCTCTTCTTCCTGTTAGGAGTTCCTGTTCCTTTACCCCTCCCAATTCTCCCAGTCCCTTGTCACCCTCCTTTAAAGGTAATTACATGACTCCCTTCCCACTCAGAATGAGACACTGTAAATTAAAGACACTATGAGTTGATCATAATTACATTTAAATTATAATGAGTTAAACTTGACTGTGGAATCCAAGTAGTACTGCTTCTGTTTTTTTACAAGTCTCATAATTTTATGCTATACCATGAATACTATAAATAAGTAAAAATGAACAGTATAAATGAAAGGACTATTGATTGCTAACACAATTACTCATTGAGAAGGATTTTCACTGCCAAGAACTCTGAATGGAAGTGGTTAAGTGCCTGTTGGTTGGTGAAGGAGTTTCAGGCTGAAGACCATATTGCCATGACAAACCACCAGAGAACTGTCAAAACTAATGGTAGTTTACAGAACATGGCAGGAATTCATGAAAGCAGGACAGGAGTGGATTCTATGAACAGGATCAAATGCCAAAGAAAATGATCTGATTAAAGAATATGCTAGAGGAGAGAACCAGGATGGCAACGTAAGGTATAGACCTGTGCGTGCTGCCTCCCACAGCAACATTGAAACTACCGACTATAAGACAAACAGCTATCATTCAGAACCATGGGAAAGCTGGCCCAGTGGAAGTTCTACAACTGGAAGGGAAGAAAGAAGCTTATTGAGACTGAGTAGGATATGCAGAGGCACCAAGAACAGAGGTACGGAGTCATGCGCAGGAGGGCTGCAACTGGATGCATGTGTTTTTTCAATCGGAAGGGGTTACAAACTCTCGAATCCACTGAGCTTGTTTGGGGGCGGGATTCTGATGCCATTGCTGTTTGCTCTGCCCTGGTGACTCCCTGAGACCCCACCCTACCCAATTTACTTCCCCGCCCAAGCTGTGCCAGAGACACAAAAGGAACCACCGGCGCTTTTACAGCATAACCCAACAAACTGCAGATTTCAACTCCTCGCGCCTGTAAGGGACACACTCAAGAAGCAGACTCAGGTTCGGAGGAAGCCAGAGCCGGACCCGGCTGGGTCGGCAATATGGAACCGCTGTACCAGCAAACACACAAGCAGGTCCACCAGATCCAGTCTCATATGGGATGCCGGGAGACGGCAGACAAGCAGTCTGTGCACTTAGTAGAAAACGAAACCCAAGCAAGCATACCAGATATTCAGCCAGCTAGAAAGCCTAGAGATTTTGTCCAGCAAGGAGCCTCCCAACAAAAGACAGAATGCCAAACTTCATGTTGACCAGTTAAAGTCTGATGTCCAGCACCTGCAGACGGCTCTCAGAAACTTCCAGCAGGAGAGACAGCGAGAGGAGCTTCTGACTTGCACCTTTACCCCCAACGTGGAATGCTGTGCCCCCTGCGAGGCTGCAGTGCCCCCTGCGAGGCTGCAACGGCCTCTGTGAGGCTGCGACAGTCCCAGTGAGGCTGAAAAGGTCCCAGTGAGGCTGAGATGGTCCCGGTGAGGCTGAGATGGTCCCAGTGAGGCTGAAACGGCCCCTGTGAGGCTGAGACGGTCCCTGTGAGGCTGAGATGGTCCCAGTGAGGCTGAAACGGCCCCTGTGAGGCTGAGACGGTCCCTGTGAGGCTGAGACGGCCCCTGCGAGGCTGAGATGGTCCTTGCGAGGCTGAGACGGCCCCTGTGAGGCTGAGACAGTCCCAGTGAGGCTGAGACGGTCCCTGTGAATCTGAGATGGTCCCAGTGAGGCTGAGATGGTCCCTGCCAGGCTGCGATGGCCCCTGGGAAGCTGGCGGAACCGGGCGAGCTGCCCAGACGGCCTCGTCAATGGCCCGCGAACCAGCGCGCAGCCCCAAGCACAACTATCACCCGAAGGGCAAGAGGGGTGAGAGCAGCTGTAGTGTTGCTTTCTCCTCACTTTTGGTAATGAAATCCTCATTTTAAACATAAGACGTTACGTGTCTCCGTACCCTTTCTGAGTAGAGCATGAACAAGTCGTGAGAGACCTTTACGAGCACAGGGACACTTTGCGGATGGAAATAGCTACATTTTCCATGTGTATGACCTTTGACCCAGCAACAAAAAGCGTACACCTATGGATGAGGACAGTGGGGGGGTAAGGGCAGAGGGTGGGGTGGGAACTGGGTGGAGGGGAGCTATCGGGGGAAAATAGGGGAACAACTGTAATAATCTGAACAATAAAGATTTATTTTAAAAAAAAGAATATGCTAGAGGAAATAAATTTTGAAGAAGTTGGCATCAAGGATGGACATGGGCTGTGCTGGCTACTCCATCCAAGGCAATGGTGCTCCAACTTTAATTCTTTAAGTTGTAGAATTCTTTCTTCAAACTGAAACAAAAGCAGAACTATGATTAAAATAAAGTCAGGGATCTGGAGTCTTTTACCCAGTCCTGCTGACTTTGGAAGGACTTCTTTAGAATGATCAATATGGGAGATAGTTTGAAAATCATTGGCCTGGGAAATTCACCCTCTCCTCACCCAACAACCATTGGTTGCTATCATAACTGGCCATCAAGTATGAGAATACTACTATTTATTAAAATATTTATACTGGACTACCTGAATATGTGTGGAGTTATAATATAATATGCAATAAATAATAGAATCTGGGCACACATTTCTATTTGTGACTTTTTTCTAGGAAACATTCTCAAATTCTTATCTTTCAAAGTTACTATGTGCCATTGCTTTTTTCCCCCCCCCTTAACTCCAGCACCCAGATACCTAAGGTTAGGAGCTTTAATGTTATCCTCTTTAGTATCTCTATTAATTATTCATCTATCCCTTCAATAATTAATAACTAATTACTAATTATACTAAAGGCCCAATGCACGAAATTTATGCAAGGGGCTCGGCCCTCACAACCTCAGCTTCATCTGGAAGGTCATCTTGAAGGACGTCCAGAAGGATGTCCAGAAGGTCGTTCAGCTGTCCAGTCTAATTATTATGCTTTTATTATTATAGATATACATATGTATGCATATGGTAGGCAATTGGAAAACAAATTTGAATAAGGCATAATCTCTGCTCCCAAAAAACTTGGTGTCTAACAGAGATTAAAATCACTAGAAGTTTGCACAGAATGTTATGGGAGCTCAGAGAAAGGGCATCTTAATTTGCCTGATGATCATGAGCAGAGGTCAAGGGATACTTACCAGAGAAATGACAGTTGACGAAATTGTGAAGGTAAGATTAAGATAAAATAAAATTATTTGCAAGAGACATGGAGCAAAGACTAGATTGTGAAAAACTTTGGGCTTTTTCCTCTTGCATTTATATAACATTCTCAAACAGATAAAACTATAGAAATGGAGAACAGATAGATAATTGCTTGAGTTTAGGGCCAGGGCAACTGTAAGGGTGTAGCAAAAGGAAGTTTATTGGGGTGTTAGGGCTCTTCTGTATCCTGCCTGTGGTGGTGGTCACACAAATCTATTCCTGTGTTAAAATTCATAGCCCCCTTCCAAAGATTAAACTTAATGTCTGATCAAAAATTTATAACTGTTTTTGCAAAAATCATAACTAACTGGTTCAAGGTCAACCATTCAAAGCACTGGGGGAATGGAGTAATGAAACAATGTTCTTTTTCTTTTTTTTGCTACAGTGACTTGTCAGTTTTCTAAACTATTCATTATATCATTAGTTTACAAAATATTGCCACATTTTAGCATTTACATTCCTTTTTAATTGCTCTCAAAATAATGATGTATTAGAAAGTTTGACTCCCATTTAAAAATAAAACTGGTAAATTTTTATCTTTCTATACCTTATAACCTTTTGCAAAATAATATTCTAAAATGCAGATTTTTAAAGGAATAACTATAAATACTTTATATTTTCTAGAATTGTTATAGAGTGAGTTATCAGTAACTTTCAAATGCAGTCTGTTAGCTGAATATTTTTAATAAACTATAGTACAGTTATAAAAAAATAATTGGATTTTTTAATACCAATAAAAATTTTTAAACTGAAAATTTCAAAAAATAACATTTAAAATAAGTATAAAAATATCTGTTGATTGTCATCTTTTGCAGTAGTGCTGTTCTATAAAGTCACTGTAAACACTGCATTATTGCTTCTGGGGGAAATAAAGCCTTAGATTCCTTTGAGTCTCTGGTTACATTTGCATTAACAAATCAGTACTTAGCCTGTTTTATGTGTGTTTCTTTTTAAAGACATCTTTAATATATATTGTTGTTTCATTAACATTGAACTCACAGCCAACAGCTCTATCGCTTGTGTCTGAAAGAAGCTCATCTAACACACAGATTTTCTCCACAGCACAGCCTCATACTTAGGAACATCAGACAATACTCAGAACTAAGTGACAAAATTATCCCTTCATCCCACCCCTCCCCCCACCAAAACAAACACAACAACACAAAATGTGGGAAATGTGGCACTAAATTGACTTTGAAAATGATGCCCTGGTCAGCCGTGCATCTAAGGGTCTGGAGTTCCATTTACGACCCTGGGTTGCAGGTTCAAACCTGGCCCTGATTAGGGCACTCATGGGAGGCAACCAATCTCTCTCGCCCATTCTCCCTCTAGTCCACTCTCCCTAAAAATCAATGAAAAAATATTAACAAAAAAAAAGGAAGGAAGGAAGGAAGGAAGGAAGGAAGGAAGGAAGGAAGGAAGGAAGGAAGGAAGGAAGGAAGAAAGAAAGAAAGAAAGAAAGAAAGAAAGAAAGAAAGAAAGAAAGAAAGAAACTTATTTACAGAGTTAAAACAAACAGACAGCACATCATCTTGTTTGACCTCAGCTGGGAATGTTGGGTAACTCAAAATTTTTGCCACTCTCCACATGACGACAAATGACCATGAAAACACCGCATCAGCAAGTAGGCATATATGCAAATTACAGAATCCACTAATAATGTGACTTGACTGTTCCTGGGACAAGATCTAACAGAAGATGTTCAAGACCTCTTCATAGACACTGTCAAACATCACTGAGAGGAGGAGGAGAAAAGTTCTAAATAAATAGAAGGACACACCATGTTTTTTATTGAAAGGGTCAAAATTATAAAAATGTCAGTTCTCCCCAAAGTAACAAGATGCAATACCAACATGTTTTTATGGAAATTGAAAAGCTGATTCTAAAATTTATATGTTAATGCAAGGGGTTGAGAATAACCAAGATACTTGTGAATAAGAATAACCTGGGAGGATTAACTCTGCCAGTTGTGGTATTGGCACAAGGGTGGGTCAGTTCCCAACAGAAGAGAAGATGGCCAGAAAGAAAGCAGTCACATATAAATGCTGGGTTTATGACCAAGACAGCATTCCGAACAAACAAAGCAGTGAGAAGATGACTTTTTTTCTATATATATATATAAATGGTAATCAATTAGCTATTTATATGGAAAAATGAACTTTGACCCTTCACACCATAAGCAAAATCATTCCAATTTGACTGTAGTTTTAAATGTGAAAGGCAAAAGGACACCAAAAGTATTAGCTACAAAGAAAAAAATTAATAAATTGGGTTATTTAATATTTCTTTAATTCTTAAATTAATTTAAGCAATTTACTTAATTTAAGATTTAAATTAAGACTTTGAGGCAGACACAGCTGATTCTCACAGCCACTTGGCCTGGAGGTCAAACCCTCCCTGGTATTAGCTACAACAATCAAGGCTTAACTACAAGACTGCGCACAAAGACCACTAGGGGGTGCACCAAGAAAGCATAACAAAATGCGGAGACAAAGAAACAGGACAAAATTGTCAATGGAAGATATAGAGTTCAGAACCACACTTTTAAGGTCTCTCAAGAACTGTTTAGAAGCTGCCGATAAACTTAATGAGATCTACAAGAAAACTAATGAGACCCTCGATGTTATGTTGGGGAACCAACTAGAAATTAAGCATACACGGACTGAAATAACGAATATTATACAGACTCCCGACAGCAGACCAGAGGAGCGCAAGAATCAAGTCAATGATTTGAAATGCGAGGAAGCAAAAAACACCCAACCGGAGGGGCAGAATGAAAAAAGAATCCAAAAATGAGAGGATAGTGTAAGGAGCCTCTGGGACAGCTTCAAGCGTACCAACATCAGAATTATAGGGGTGCCAGAAGATGAGAGAGACCAAGATATTGAAAACCTATTTGAAGAAATAATGACAGAAAACTTCTCCCACCTGGTGAAAGAAATGGACTTACAGGTCCAAGAAGCGCGGAGAACCCCAAACAAAAGGAATCCAAAGAGGACCACACCAAGACACATCATAATTAAAATGCCAAGAGCAAAAGATAAAGAGAGAATCTTAAAAGCAGCAAGAGAAAGAAACTCAGTTACCTACAAGGGAATACCCATACGACTGTCAGCTGATTTCTCAACAGAAACTTTGCAGGCCAGAAGGGAGTGGCAAGAAATATTCAAAGTGATGAATGCCAAGAACCTACAACCAAGATTACTTTATCCAGCAAAGCTATCATTCAGAATTGAAGGTCAGATAAAGAGCTTCACAGATAAGGAAAAGCTAAAGGTGTTCATCACCATCAAACCAGGATTATATGAAATGCTGAAAGGTATCCTTTAAGAAGAGGAAGAGGAAGAGGAAGAAAAAGGGAAAGATACAAATTATGAACAACAAATATGCATCTATCAACAAGTGAATCTAAGAATCAAGTGAATAAATAATCTGATGAACAGAATGAACTGGTGATTATAATAGAATCAGGGACATAGAAAGGGAATGGACTGACTATTCTTGGGGGGAAAGGGGTGTGGGAGATGCAGGAAGAGACTGGACAAAAATCGTGCACCTATGGATGAGGACAGTGGGTGGGGAGTGAGGGCGGAGGGTGGGGCGGGAACTGGGAAGAGGGGAGTTCTGGGGGGAAAAAAAGAGGAACAAATGTAATAATCTGAACAATAAAGATTTAATTAAAAGAAAGAAAGAAAGAAAGAAAGAAAGAAAGAAAGAAAGAAAGAAAGAAAGAAAGAAAAAAAGACTTTGGTTTATCAAAAGATACCATTAAGAGAGTAAAAAAGCAAGCCACAGAGAGAAGATATTTGTCACACCAATAATGCACAAAGATCTCCTATCCAGAATATATATAAAACGAATGATAAATATGGTCAATAAACATTTGGAAAAGGGTCAATCTTATTAGAATTTAAAAAATACAAAGTAAAACAAAATATTGTTTTTCATTTATCACATTAGCTTAGGTAAAAAAGCTAATAATCAGGTTATGGAAAGGTATGAGGAAAAGAGCTAATAATGATCAGTTTAGAGGAAAGTCTGAGGAGGTAGGAAATTAGTGCTTTTACTTAGAAGAACAATTTAAAATATTCATCAAGTTGTAAACATTT